ACAAAGAATCAGATCTGCCCACACAAGTTAACAGAAAGATGGATGGTAGTTAGACTTGATGAGTTGCACTGGTGTGGTTTAAAGCTCCTGTGACGAAATTTCATTTTGTGTTGCTTGTTTTCTCACCCTTGTAGACAAAGTGGTATTTTTTTAAACTCTTGTCCTAAATGTAGAAGTTGTGTCACCAGGTCTAAATTTTGCAGTGAAAAATATCAACAAAAGCCATTTAGCACCTTTCCCACCACAGCAGCATTAACAATGACTCTTTTAAACTAAGCTGTCTTGTCACCAGTGGTTGTGTTTGCTTTTGTTTATGAAAGACTCATTAGAGATACCATTATAACTCATCAGAACTTTAATACAACGTTTAGACCAAAACAGCTTTCTCATTTATTTAAACAATAATAAAGTGACACATGAAGAAGCAAAAGACTTTCAACTTAGCCCTGTAAACACTTAATTTCCTACAACCTGACAATCCCAAGATGGGATAGAACAAGAAAGAATGATTGAATACGCTGATTTTTAGTCATCTCATCAGCCACAAAAAACACATACATATCTAAAGAGGCATTTCATCACATGGTTGTTTACAATCTTGATCCCTGCTCATTCTAAATGAACTCCCCGGATCAGTTTTCACTCTCTTACTAGTACCCGAAGCAACACAACCGTGCCAACTCATCCTCTTACACAGTTGTATTTTTTTGGGTCTTACTCAAACACACACCAATTTAATCCCTCTATGCATCCCAAATAGTCCCACTTGCAGTTGCTAATGTTATTTAGGAACTATAAAAATGCTGTATAAATATTAACTTACATAAATTCTAACAGATTAAATAGCGATTGCCTCTTTGATTATAAACAGTTATCTAAATCTGTGGGGTAAAGGACTTTACAAAGGCACAGGGAGCCTAGTGCTGAATTCTGCAAATAGTTGTGGGACAACAGTGCTGTAATTCATAATGTGAGAATATATTATGCTAGCTACCTGAAAATATCCCTTTAACTTCCATCAAATAAAGAAGTAAAATCAACATGCTCTTTTCCTTCTTTCATACCACGTAGTGATTTGTCCCTTTTGAGCTCCCACAGTGTCCCTCTGCTTCCCCTTGACGTGATGGAGAATCAAACCACTACTGGGCTTTTGGAAAGACTACTCTTCTGTATAAACTTCTCACTTGCTCATTTGATAAGTTAAAAGTCTGATCTGCGTTGTCAGTGAAATAAAAAAACACGGAACTGCTTAAAGTTTAAGGTACTACCTACAAGCTAAGCATACAGTTCAGCTAATAAAGCTGACAAAAGAGGGACACTGCATCAGAAAAGCCAACAGAACACTGTTTATGTGTACAAAGACCTTAAACTAAATCAAAGAAGTTGATATTAGCACACTGTGACCTGCCACCAGCTGTTTGGTTTCAGACTACATCAGAAGAGTCATGATCAAAGATCAAAAAGTCAAGATCAAAAACAAGCATTCAAATCCAAACACCAATAAGAGTCACCTTACATTTTTATGAAGACTTGAAAACTGCTTTAAAATGCAAAATAACAGAATTTTAAAGGTGGGATTAAAAACATGATGAATCGTGATAACTACTGAAATTGCACTAAAAATACTGCTCATTACACAGCACTGATTATCTATACTTTTAGAAAATTAAGTAGAATTACTTTTTTGGATAGCGCTCCAAAACATTACCCAGAGGTGTAATGACTCACCAGAACAAAGCCAGTGCCTTTGTGTTTAAGGTTTGGATGAAAAAACAGCATACATGACATAATGCTCCAGATATCTTCAGAGCGTATGCCAAACCCCAGCATGAAAACCCACTTATCTTATCCACTAATCAATTATTTACACATTTCTTTGCTCATTCCAGGAAATTCCTAAGAGCACAGCAAATAAATAAACTGTGTAATTAAAGACAGGTGAGGGGGATTAGCATTGTGTGTCTGGGGTGTAGAGCAGAGAGGAAAATTAGAAATCCAAATTTGCTCTTGTTTGCTGCCAAATGAGATCCTCAGCTTGTCAGATCCAGGCTTCTGAAGCACCTATCTTGGCTCTCTTGATTAAAATGCTTCCAACATTTGTCTTAGCTGCCGAGCAAAGACAAAAACCAAACAGCTTGGATAAAGTTTTAATGAACCTAAAAAAAAATAAAAAATACACACACACTGAGCTAAAAGAGGACAAAGACGTTAAAAAAAGAAATCCAAGTCGACAGTTGCTCCAGGGCATTTATACAAGCATAGCTGCTGTAATTATAAAAGATCTCGTCTTGTTTTTACTGGTGATTATCTGCCATATCATTCAATTTGCTTCAGTTTGCATCCCAAAATTGTGCACTTGTCATTCATTCAGCGCAGCCACAGAATTCTGTTTGCGTGGCAGACAAGACAAGCTGTAGAAGATTTAAACAAAAAAAAAAAAAAGCTGTGAAATCCTCCAAAATTACTCTTCCCCATCGTCTTAATCCTGTTGTGAGAGTTCCCCTTTCCTATAAAACCAATCCCAAAATGAAACCAAACCCACACAAGCAATAAGTTTTACAACCTCTTGAGCTTACAACGACCAAATGTGTTGCAGTACAGGCTAATTTTCTGTGCTTGTCGAGAGGCACCTTGTTGCGTTGTCATGGTGATATTGTCCGCCAGTGAGAGATATGCACAGACACAGGGATGTTTTGTGTAATTGTTGCTTGAGGACAGGTCACTGCGGAAACCAAAATGTCACCTTTGTGGTGGGTTCACAGTGAAACCCTTTGATATGTACTTTTCATGGATTTGAATGAATCAAAGAAAAATGAATATGCACAACTGGAACACTGTACACAAGTCAGTGTTTGTGTGGTTACTTTATACAACACAATTATGCTCCTTACAACAATGAGTATTTATAATTAAGAAATCACAGCTAATACAATTCATGCAAGAGTTGATTAGGAATAAATTCAGGGTTGGTACAATGAAGGCATCAAAGTTTGTGTGTTATATTAAGACTGCCTACTTTCCGTGGGTGCTCCCCTACTTTGTAAAAAATGTATGCTGTGGTAGCTTCCAGACTCTTGTGTCTCTAAATAGAATCTAGACTAAATGGGTACAAATGAATATTTTATGCTGACTATTGCCCATGCTTAAGTTTAAACTGATCTAAATCCCTATAATCTATTTACTATCAGTAAACAAGGTAAATTTTTTTTTTTTTTTTTACATGGAAATCAAAGATAAGAAGACTTGGAAATGTAATGACTATAGAATGCATTCATGTATGTTTCCTCAATGTTGTTGCAATGCAGTTTGGATGGCTTTATATCACCAATAAACTCAATAAGAGATATTAAGCTTTAACTCCAAAACCAAAGCCTTAGTTCTTTATTTACAATGGACATATATATATAATATCCAATGCTTTGGCAGCTTCCACCTGGTGTGGTAGGTTTGCTTGATGGTAGTGTTGGGCGGTATGACAGTACCGTATTTTTCGCACTACAAGGCGCACCTGATTATAAGGCGCATCATCAATGAACGCATCTATTCGCGTCTATTTTCATACATAAGGCACACCGGATTATAAAGTGCATTGAGCCAAACAAAACAGTCAGATAAGTCAAACTTTATTTAACTCATTCAATAACTCAGCGAGGCTACGGTAGCTGCAGCGCTCCGACAAGCCAAAAGGATTTTAAGTGCGCCTTATAGTGCGAAAAATCCGGTATATACCGTGTGACGGCATAAAAGTGTCTACCGGTAAAAACTTTGCTATACTGTTTGTACCAGAGAGAGAGAGAGAGAGCAGATGTCTGGTGCATCTCTCTGACGCCTGGTTCACACAGGAAGCGCCGCGCGCGGAACGGAAGCGCCGCGCACAGAGTTTCGGATCGGCGCCCGTGTTAACCTATGAGACTGTTCGAACGGCTTGCGCTCTGGAGCACGGCTGGTCCGCTCTCTATTTTCGGCACGAGCCGCGCGCGCCGATGTAAAGCTGGACAGAGCAGATCGGACCAGACAGGAAGTCGGAACAGGAGATGCGAGAGAATCTGGTCAATTTTCAAAATAAAATAAATTTTAATAAATTCGAAAAAAAGGATTTACGGTGTTGCTTGTCGGTCTATTTTTTTACCGATGAACACACACACATAACACACACACACACACACACACAACACACACACACACACACACACACACACACGGAGGGAGAGCTGCAGAGATTCAGTGATGTTATTGAGACAAAGGAGGGGGACTTTATTACGATACAGTCAATAGCCTCGAGCTAACAAGGCTATACATACAACGGAGTCAACAGACTCCCCAATTTATGTTGTTTACCCCTATATAATAATTTAAAACAATACTTGAAGATGCGGCCAATATTTAATTTATGTATGACGAAATAAAAACGTAAATAAATATTGATTTACCCATTTTTAAAGCGCTCGTAAGTGTGGAAAACTGAGGACAGACGGAAACGGCCGAGCACTGCCGGGCTCAGTCGATGTCTGACCGGCATGTCAGAGCGCAGCAGAAAACGCTTTATGTGTGAACAGCCAAGCGCGAGAACCAGGCGTTATAGCAGAGGCCAAGTAATTTGCCCAGTGCAAACTGCGCACGCGCAGCCCCTAGTCTGCATCTCAATGCCATAGCAACCAGTGCAGACTCAACCGTCAACATGGTGAGTGTTTCGGTTCTCGCTGTCTATCTATCGTTACTTATTGGGATAAAATAGTTGATATACGGGATTGAAACTTTATTTTAGAATGGGAGAATGCTGTCACATTGGTTCTGATAGTGGCTGGTGACATTACACGCAATATTGGAGTCGCTGTGAGCTGATAATGGGCTAACTGTAATTGGCTAGTTAGCTAAACAAAGATGTCAAAATGTGATTTATCTTTTACTCAGAGCCGAATCAAGGACTTTGTCTACGCTCTGCAGCTAGTGTAACGCCAACAGATCGTGTTTGAAGACGAAAAGCACGACTAAAGATGCATTGTGGAGCCTTGTTTTTACATTTACAGCAAAGGCAGAGTACATTTACATTAAAACTGACGAAAAACATGTCTTTAGTTCTGAACTACGTTGTTGTTTGCTTGTTTCTGAAATTGTCGGCTGTTTTTTTATCCTAATATAATCCTGCTATTTCCTGTCTAACTGAATGGCATCTCATGTCTGCAGGCAAATGCAACTACAGTGAAAGAGACACTGGCTAAATGGGTGAGTCTTATCCAAATTAACTTAAGAAACTAGGATGATATACTGTATGATTCTGTGCCTTAGACCTGCTTCAGTGGCCAATTAAATCTATTGATTGTCTTGTTTTAGTTTATTTGTGAGAAAGAGAAGTTCTGACCTGGTGTTTGTTGGAAATCCTCTGGAGGAAAAGTACTCAGCTGAGGGAACCTGGATGGATGAAGCCTCGAAAAGACTCCCCAATCTGAAAAAACTAGATGGTAAAAATGGGGCAGTAGCATTTATTAAGACGTTCTTAATCCTAACCAAGAACTCATATATGAGCAAAGCAATAATTTACTGGTCCTGGCTCTTGTGCATGTTGAAGTACTTAAGTGTACTTATTTTAACTCATTTTTTAAGATTATTTACAGTTGACTATTTTGATAAGTCAGGTGTGGTCATTTGATGTTGGATGAGCTGAGCAAAAAAAATGATTTGTTCAGAAAATAGAAAACAGAAAAAGTTCAAACAAAGGGCTTTGGAGGGTAATAAGAGAGCTAAATCTAGCCCATGATCCCTGACATAGAAATGTCATAAACTGAACCAAGTTAGATGACTGAGTTTAAAATTTGGTTTAAATATCAATTGAAGAAAATGAAAAGAAATGTAATTTCAAGCATTTTTAAATTAAATAAGTGTTTTACAGGGTGTTTTATGAGTACCACCTCCCACACCCACACCCAGGCCAATACACATTAGGTATGCTTAAATTCAAAATATATACTGACAGCTGTTTGAGGTACACTATAACAAAGCAATCCAAACTTAAGTTTCAGAACTTTTATTCCATAACCACTATTAGACATTGATCGCTTTTTTTATTATCAGGAACCCCGGTCATCAACCTAGAAGAGGACGAAGGAGAGGGAGACGACTGAGGAGTCTGCATTTTGTTTGCATTTGTATACAAATCCGAGTTTAAAAATAAAAGGAAAATGAACGAATGACACGGTATGGTTATTTTTAAGCCATTAATTGAATTTACAGGGGGGAAAAAACTGTGATATATACTGTTACTGTGATATGAAATTACTCATACCGTGATATAACATTTTGTTCATACCGCCCAACACTACTTGATGGTATGGGTATGATAACAAGAGCATGAGAAGGAAGTCATGGCCGTGATCAAAACGACTGTAAAATAATAGATGTAGGACTTCAATCTGCCAAGTCAAACTGTTACTACACAGTTGTCAGCTGTTTGAGTTTTCTGTGAGCGCTCTTTTCAGTCCATTTGACCCGATAAGAAAAAGAAAAAGTGAAGAGAAGATCTGTGCAGCTGGCCTTCAATCATGATGGGAAAAACAGGTGCACACAAAAGGTATAAAAGACTCTTTATTCAAAGAGCTTCACTTTGAATCAAACATAAGTGTTTGGGCTTATTTCTCTATCATCTGAAGCGAAAAAAAGAGGCGAGTTCAAATTGTGGAGCTTCATTTTCTGTAGCTACAAATCCCATTAAAACGGAAAACACATTGATGTACTTTTAATCAGTGGTGGGGGGAGTAAACAAAACATTGCTCAAGTAAAAGTATTGTTTCTTTTCAGAGAGCAGAAGTTTAAGTAGTACTAATAAAACTAAAAGCTGCAAGTACCATTAAATGGGCCTTGCACCTCTGTGAACCTTTAATCCTGCAGAAGGAAACCTCACCTGTGTCCTCATCAAGAAAAACAACGTGAAAAATATGCAACAGAACATGTACACAAGCCTGATGAGTTTTGGAAACAAGTGCTGTGGACTGATGATGAGAAAATAGAACTCTTTGGCCTCAATAAGCAAAGGTACTGTACGTTTGGAGAAAAAAAAAAGACCAACTGCCAGCTGTTAAATGTGGGGGTGGATCAATCATGCTTTGGGGTTGTGTTGCAGCCAGTGAGACGGGAAGCATGCTCAGGTGGAGGGAATAATGGATTCCACTAAATACCAGCAAATTCTGGAGACAAATATCACAGCATCTGTAAAAAAAAAAAGCTAAAGCTAAAAAAAGAGATCTTAAAAGAGCTGTGCATTCAAGACAACCCGAGAATACACCAACATCCCAAAGGCATGTGAAGCTGTCTCAGAGACTACGCTCCTCGAAGACAGCACGATATTGCCTTCAGCCTCCAGGAGGCACTATAACTGGAATGAATTATTTCCACATGAATGTATGTAAGTCTTGACCCCCATTATGCATTGTAAGGATGGTTCAGATTGGAGCATGCATGGCTGTGAAAAACCTGCTTCCAGTGTTATGGTGAAACACCATATGAAAAGAAGACTGGTGCCTTTCAGCAGATTTTTCAAATGACCTAACTCTCTTTTAAGATTTTACCACAATTTTAAGAGACTTTCTCAAGTCTCAGAAAGCTGGACAAAATCATTCTTCTGAGTGAAACTGGAAAGAAGGGCTGGACTTTCAACAGTGCTAGGGTAGCGCTAGCAAACCAGTTCGCCATGCCCCTTCTGTTACAATTTTTCAGGGTTTTTTGAGCATGTTCAGGGCCTCAAAATTGTGACAAGACGGAGATCACTAATAACAGCGAATCACCAGAACTCAAATTCGGTACTTGGGCCCTAATATATACCCTATAAAGAGTATGAAAAGTATCTCATTCAAATCTACTTAAGTAGTGAGAAACGTCATGTTGTGCAATTTTTCAATTCTATTGCAGAGAAACACATTACTTAAAGCTAATTACAATGTTAAGTTCACATTGTCATTAATTCAGTTAAATAACCAGGAAAAATGCCAAAATAAATGGCTGAGTGTATTACAACATAGCACGCCATGATAAAAAATAGGTTGTTATGTCAACAAGTCGGGAACACAAATACAGAAATGGCCGAAATATCTGATGTCCCTGATTTTTAAGCAACACTGACCCACACATAACCGACGTTTCCCTGCATTAGTACCACTTTCACAAATTCATTATCAGTCTCTAGCTTTCTAACTTTAAAACAAATATGGAAATATTCAGAAAGCTAATGAAATTGAAATGCTAATTCATGAGGACGTTTAATCTTGAACTTTTGTTAAAATAATTTCACTAGAGAGTAAAAAACCATCATCGTTCCAGCTCATGCTTTTTTTTCTGCATTCGTTAGGGGCACAAATCTGAAAAGCCTTAAGGTTACAAATATTAAAATTACAGGCTCAACACAAGAGAGATATTGAAAAGGCTGTGGTGATCCCCAGTGGATATGAACGACATATTTATTTACGCAAGCCACAGAAATTAATGGTCATTACAAGATCTGATTTATGAATAAAAGACAATTTTGGTATTTGGGGGTCAATATGTGAAGCTGTGCTGTCCCTGATGTCCCTGTCTGCCAGGAAGTAAAGAGGGGGACATTAGTTGGGACTAATTCGAACAACATTTCAAGGAGAAATTAGGGGATAAGCAATCAGCCAATTTGAAAGGGCTCGACATTGGCAGGCATGAATGCTGAACAGCCACACCCTTAACTGAGTGCTGGAGCAACTTCACTTTATTTCAGTTCAGCAGCTTCTCCATGAGTTTAGCTTAGGTTGCTACTCATCACTCAGTATCTCCAAGACACACTTAACATTTTGCAGTTGTATTTTAACACTTCATTGTCATCTCACTGCAAGCCAGCTCTGGGAAGTACAGACTTAACAGAGTTTCAAGAGATGAATACTGTAAGTGGGAGGGAAAACAGCTTAATACTATGTTGTGTAGTTGAAAATACTGTCAACATTTGCATCCTTAACTTAAATACATGTAAGCGGATTTCGAAAAGAGCAAGGAAAGATAGCTTAATTCCACCTGAAGAGGTTTGTGACTGCCTCCAAGTAATGCAACCTCTCCAGTAACATGAACCTCGCTGCTAATCCTCTAGCTCATTAGTTATTTGAATTAGGTCCAGTGGTGGAGTTATAATTGTGCACATCCTCTCAGTGAAGTATTAACATCTACCACATCTCATTAATGAAATGACATTAAGAGCGCAACAGTTTTCAGTCAGCTCTTTCATCAGCTCTCTTCCCTTCAAAGAGACGATGAAAATGCAAAGTAACATAAACAACATCACAGGAAAGCACAAAAGGAAGAGGTGATGTAACTTGAGCGACAAGTTTCACCCACAGTTTAGATGAAATGTCTTTCATTGTGAAATTGTAACATCACTTAGATTATTTTCAGTGTGAACTCAAAGTTATCAAGAGTATTTTAGTTATAGCCCCTTTAGTTAAAAGCTGAAAATACAAGTTGTTCAATGTAATATGTGGACATATCAGTGAAAGAGCCCAGGAGAAATTCTTGATTGTCAGAGGCAGTCTGTAATTTTCATCTATGTGTGTGTTTTTATTCCCTCTTGTATTGCCAGAGCAGTAAAATCTACCCCTGATGCGTGGATGCTGCTGCACAAGAAACTGAAAAAAAGAGACATCAACTAAATTTAGAAAGACTGAATAGAAGCAAAAAACAAAAAGACTTGTAAGGGTTTTTCTCACCCTGTTAGGATTCAGCTCTGCATAGACACTACTTCATTTCTACTACTTCAGAGACACATCTTTAATAACTGTGAAGCTATTCCTGCATTTTTTGTTGATTTTTTTTACTTAAAATTGGTAATGACATCTTCACAAAGTGCCATTCAAATGGTGTTGATGAAGATTTTTGCATATTCTCAGTGGTGAAATTCATATAGGCTGATAAAGCTGAACAGACGAGTACTGATATATTACAACTGTGAATAGTTTGGGGTAAAAATGAAATGGGAATAAAAATGAAAAGGAATAAATTTAAGACATCAAATGAGAGACTTTGTAATGAGGAAAATCTGATTTTAGTTTGGGAAGATGCAATGTCATCAGCCTTTTAATACTTTTATCAGGGTTTACGTGCACACAATTACAGTTGGATGGAGGCTTGTAATTAACCTCTGCACCATTGCCCACAATTACCTATTAAGGCATTACTGTGTAAATCTGCTTTAAAAGTGGACGCTTTGTTGGGAGTAGCCAAACAGAGACACAGCAGCACCCTCTCCTGTCCAACACTCACACTGATAAATGCAAGACTTGATGCTTTATCAAATCAAAACAGAATTATTAAGTATTAGACTCTATTTAAGTTCACATTTCATAGATGTAAATTAATACTTCTCATAAAAAATTTGTCACAACAAACCGTTTTAGTTTTTGAAGAGTAATGGGAGTCATTTTAAGAGATGGATCCATGAGTGGTATGTTTAAGATGCTTGAAGACCTCAGAGGATCTCTTCCTGCACTTTGCAGACTGGTGTGTAGGTAAACCACAGAGCCACTAGGTGGCAAACCAAAATCACAAACACATACATTGTAGAATATCGCCTGATACAACACTCACACTACCTAAAAATGTTCAATTTAGTTGAATGGCTGTAGAAAAAAAGACTTAAAGGTCAAAAATAGCTTTTAAGTTAAACATGAATGTGTGGGAGGTTTTTTTAATGTCATTTACGGTGACCAAATGTTAAAAGTTCTAGTCCAAACGTGGATTTGTCTTGAGTTAAACAACAGTCACACAGAGCTTCAGTCTCTAAGTGATATAGAAAAGGGTGTAAGTGTTGTTGTCTTTTATTGATTTCAAGCCCGG